AGGAAGGAGGCAAGGAAGCAAGGAAGGAAGCAAGGAAGGAAGCAAGGAAACAAGCAAGCAAGCAAGGAAGCCGGCACGGAAGCAAGAAAACCAGTGCACTTTTCCTACCCTGATGTTCTCAACGACAGAGCGGGCTTTAAAAACTTCTCTTCTTGTGGCTTCTATCCCATTCCACTACAAAACACAAAATTATAAACAATATTAGCATACATATATAACTAAAAACAAACTGTAAAAGGGTGAGCAAAAGGTGAAAGGAATAGGGAGCGAACAAAACAGAGCAATCAAGTTATTACAAGTTGAGGACTCTATGTAACATTCGATGAGAGGGGCCATTCTATCTAGTCCTCCTTCGCTTTTTTAACAACACAGGAATCCCCAATAACTGTGAGGCATGTTTACCTGGTATATAGTAAGTGCGGGGCATGTTTACCTGGTATATAGTAAGCCCAAGATCAATGATAAATACACCATCATTCTTCAAATTTGCTCTCTTCAACTTCTTCTCCGTCTGTCGAACTTTCGATCTCTGAAAGCATTAATTTTAAACGCAGAAATGTTAAAACCTGAACACCAGGCTCAGAAGAGAAATTAGCTTTAAAGAAACACTGCAACGGCGTTGTCTGATGGGATTTCCTTTACTCTGATTGGCTGTATTTTTACAATGGTTGTGAGTGACATACCACAGATTATATTTCCCATGTCTAGTTTAAACACAGGACAAGGAAATGCAATGAACAAGTGGGATATTCCACGGTGTGCCACGAGAAAGCATTTTACAACTACTTTATCCTACATTATAAAATAACTGTTATGAAAGTCGCGTTCTGATTGGTTTGGAGCGCGCGCTTTATGAAAGCACATTGCACGCGCGCGCAATTTCCGTTGCGTCATTCCTATCTAAAATAACTGTTATTGTAATTCGTATTTCATAAAATGATTTAAAAACTTGCTTGTTGTGCTGTGTGCCGTCATAAAGCACTTGGGGATTGGCAGAACACTCGAGAAGTGTCGAGAAGCACTCCGCTACGCGTCGTGCTTTTCCTAACACTTTTCTCGTGTTCTGCCAACCCCAGCGTGCTTTGTGACTGCACACAGCACGCGCGCGTTTTCTATTTCTTCAATATATAACCGGCTTTCCTAAGACGGAATTTTCTCCGGTTTTCTTCCGGATTCTGTGCGAATTTTGTCACGCCTTGTTTTTACATGTTATCAACCCAGAGGTTTTAAAACTCCGATGAAATTTGAAGGTTTCGTTTGCCCGGAGAAATCGTCCCAGAGGTGTGTGAGAGGAGAGTGTAAATACAGCACTGCAGCCATTGAATTTTTTCCATGAATGTTGTTTCCCAAAGGAATATTTACCCCAACAATTTCGATAACAATCAGACGAGGCTTGTAATCTTGAGGTTGAACCCTAGCGAATCCTGTATTGGCTCTGGAAAAGGAATTTCAAAATGCTACCACATATATCAACGGTCACGCAATTGTTTAATCAGTCACGCAAGGATGGAAAATGTCACACACTCACAACGTCTCATGACGGTTAACTCGTCAAAGGTAGTTGTCCTGTACTCTTGCACGAGTCG